ATTGACGTTGCATTTAAATTTGTGAAGATTGTAGTTATCAGGGAAGCAAGTAAGAAGAAAGGAGTTCCAAAGACGGGCTTGTGTTATTCTTGAAGTATGCAGTTTTCTGTTGCCACCAGGACAAACAAGACTTTCTCTTTCACTGTAACTACGGTGAAAACACTGAAATATGTTAATGTGCTTCAAATTTATTCTTAATGAGTAGCAGTTAGAGTTATTGATTCGTGATTACAATTGGTTCTCCCCAAAACAGAAATTACTTTTGACTCAACCAAAGTTATTCCAATATTGACGCTTAATTTTTGCTTCATTAGGCAGTTGACTTTTCTTGACCCATTTTCCGAAAATACTGTTTACGTAATATAAGCATGATTTTAAAACGTCCCCATTTTGAAGATTAAGTGAGAAGAAAATGACACTACAATATAATGACTTTTATTTTCTTAGCCTAGAATAGAAAGTAAACACGGGCAACAATGTACGCTGTTGTTGGATGACCAAAGCGTGACACTAATGACAGCCGAATGAGCTCGTGTTACGTATGGCTTGAACGAGATTATGTGTGGTACCATTGTTTGCAACTAAAAGGAGTGATTCATAAAAGTCGGGATATTATATATATATATATATATATATATATATATATGCTGGCCATAAGAACTCGTCGTCATCGTGGGATCTTAGCCCCTGTAATATTTTTTCTCACGGTCACAAAAGTGATAGTGGTGATGATCGTGGGAATATTGATGATTATGCTAAAAATAGGAACAGCAGTAGTGCCATTATAATCATCTGTGAGGAGAGGATCGTGTGTGTGTGTGTGTGTGTGTGTGTGTGTGTTGGAGATCAATATTACAATAGTGATCAAATCTTCATCACCAAATAAAAAAGAATAAGCGTTTATATTAACCGTCTGCATGCAATGACAATGGTGTTTGTATGAATGCTATTGATTGAAGCCTCGTTCTGATCTCGTAGTGTCTCGTCGATTTATAACTAATTAGTAATGAATTATATCATCACGAGGTTTTTGGTACTTGCAGGCTTCTTCCAAAAATAAGCGCCGCTTAACAAACAGCTAGTGTCTGGATAATAATATTGAGGAAATGGAAGATGAGTAAGAGAAGAAGAAGAGGAAGAAGAAGAAATAATAAGACAAAAAAGAAAAAGAAATAATAATAATATGAAGAAGAAGAAGAAGAAATGATACGACAAAGAAGAAAAAGAAATAATAATAAGAAGAAGAAAAAATAATATGACAAAGAAGAAGAAAAAGAAAAAAGAGGAATAAGAAGAAATAATACGACAAAGAAGAAAAAGAAATAATAATAATAATAATAATAATAAGAAGAAGAAGAAGAAGAAGAAGAAGAAATAATATGACAAAGAAGAAGAAAAAGAAAAAGAGGAAGAAGAAATAATACGACAAAAAAGAAAAAGAAATAATAATAAGAAGAAAAGAAGAAGAAGAAGAAGAAATAATACGACAAAGAAGAAGAAGAAGAAGAAGAAGAAGAAGAAGAAGAAGAAGAAGAAGAAGGCGGAGGCGGCGGAAAACAAATGCTTGTTTATTTATTCTGGTATCTATTGGTTGCGGTTGGAGATCGGGTGATAATTGAATTTTCTTAAATCTTAAATACTTTTACCAATCCAGACACTATTGTTGTCTGAACAGTCTTATGTCTTCCTCCAACCTCCACTTCTTCCAATCTTGCTTGTACATTTTCAAAGCAGTTCATAATGAACCAATTATAATCAACAGGGACCTCACCTCCAGGTTTCACTTTTTTCTTTTCTTGGGAGGGGTTCTAGTCTTTCTCTATTTTATCATCGCCATGTTATCTTCTATAACAGACAGGTTCGCGATTTAATGTCTATCAGAAGCCTTGATTTGAGAAGAGTCGATCTGCGGTGACCCCGTGTGTACTGGGTTCATCCCTAAGAAATTACAAAACAATATCTGCACTCGGTATTATCTCAGAAAGTCAAAGGACAAAACTATACATAACATGAGATCATTCGGCTGTCATTAACGTCATATAGCACCAAGTACAAAATATTGTACCAAAATATATCGAATGGGTGTACCAATTTAAACAAAAAGTGATTTATTCTTTTTCTACGGATTATCAACCCTTTGCATGTTATTTAAAGCCGGAAAATATTTTTAGATTGTAAGATATTTTTTTATTTTTGGAGATAATAATGTTTTTGGCGATAAAAGTCTTACTAATTAATCCATAGCTGGTCAGGAGAAGAGGTAGATTCATACTTTTCCCAGAAGTATTTGCGCGTAAGTGAATATAACGAATCCAACTGGAATTGGAACTCTGCTCTCCGATTAACAATTCCAAGCCATTATCTATTACACCACCCGCACTTTCAAGTTTACGGCATCTGATATTCCCAAGTGGTCATCCATCTAAGTACTGACCAGGCCTGACGTTGCTTATCTTTGGTGATTGCGCAGGATCGATGTTTCAACGTGATATGGCCGTAAACTGCAAAAAGAGAACCTAGGTGAAATAAAACCGAATAAGGGGAAGAAAAGAGAACTCTAAGGGGAGAAAGAGAACTCTTCACGGCTTCGTAAGAAGATCGAACGTTCTAAGAAAAACCGGGAAATGCATACCCTTGATTCGAGCATCGTTAATTTCTTTGAGGGAATAAACAATTATTTACGTACTGAAAAGTTAGTCTCGTATTCCTATCAGACATTAATATTACAGGTATTTCATGATTAAAAATAGCTTTTACTTGTGTTCATTTTCTTCTACTAATGTGCACGCTATACAAAGCCCAAAAGCCACTCGGAGTAGAGGGTTACTGAAGGCGGTTGTTGTGGGAGCTCTAAGAGTAGGGGTTAAGAAGTGCAGTTTATAAGGATATGTGGGAACGATAACAGTTAGCGTGAACAGGTTAAGATTGTAGTGGTCGAGGAAGCATCTTCTTGGGAGTCGATTCCACAGGGTAGCGGTATGTGGGAAGAAGCTATTCAAGAGGAACGTCTCACTAATGGAATACGAAGAGAATGAGGGTGGTTCACTACAGGGTACCTTGTATGGCGGGTCCTGGTTAAGGAGTTTCTCATCATTTGTTTTGCCCAATGCTCAGTGGATCACTGTCCCTTTCTTTCTTTTTATGTGCCATGTCCTTTCACCTCCCTCTATACCTTGCAGCTCTCAACAAATTCCTTCCCTTTGCTACGAGTTAAGAATAAAAAAAACAAACCTATGACGGAATACCACAATTTCATCGAATCCAAGTCTACGGGTTAAAAGATACAATGGCATTTAAACAAGGATTTTGGTTTTCTAAAAAAAAAAAGGTGGGGGCCTTATTTAAATAAACAAGTTTACTCAGATATGACAATCTTGAGAATGTAAAAATAATTCTGTTAAATTACAAAGTTTTGCTACACAAAAAACCTCTTCTCTTTTTCTTTTTCTAAGAATTTTGAATTATTGTCTGTTACAAGTTTGTATACTTCAACTTTTGTATTTGAGCTTAAAAATTAAATCAATTTAAATTTAAATCTTTAGCTGATGAGAAGAAAAGAAATCCTGAAGCATAATTCTTAATCGGAGAGACGAGTTTCTATTCCTGATAGGTTCATTATATTCACTTATATGCAAATACCCTTGGGAAACGTATAGACCCACCTCTTCCCCCCAGATATAGATTAATCAGTAAAGATTATATCACTGAACCATTATTATCTGAAAAAAATTCTAAAAATATTCTGAAAATCGAAAAATGTTTTCTGGCTTTAAATAACCTGTGATGGATTGATAAACCGTAGAAAACGAATCAATCAATCAAAAGAATAATGGACCAATCGGATCCTTCTATTTTGTTGCATTTTCGTGTGGAATACACTAAAATGCAACAAATTAGAACTATTCGATTGGTCAATTATTCTTTCAACTTCGCACAAACCCCTTTCTATTTTTCTATGATTTTTTAAATATCTGTTACAAGTTTGTATTGTGCTTTTGCTTTTGAACTTAAAAATTAAATTTAAATCTTTGTCTAATAAAATGAATAGAAGCATTTAACAATATTCAATAAAAAATATGTGTTGCATAATCTTTGCGTATAGATCGTACATATTAGATCACGATTGTTATTGCAATTGTGCACATGGATTGTGATTCTGAACAGAAACGGGTATGTAAAGATCTATATATCTATTTGTTTAACTATAGAATTTTACAACTTTATCATTATTTTAGTTTTGTACCGATGAATCATCAGTTACCTCCCCTTAAGATCTAGGAGGTTTAAAAAGCAACCTGTTTCATCCGTCAGTAGACGAGTAGTCAGAGTAAAGTGCAATAAAGCTTTGGTATAAGTTTATTCACTGGTTCTATTTTTACTACAAGTTTATTTTGGAGTAATTTTTAAATTTACATATAAAAACATCAACATCGCCATCTTTCAAAAACGCAAAAAATTATAATGAAACATATAGTGTATTACATATAGTGTATTACATATTATAGTGCATGACTGAAATTCGCATGTAAGACACGGGGATATTTTTATCCATTTCAAATTTCAAATTCAGTCATAATAGAAGATAAACATTTTGTAGGATTTCTTTTATATTACAGTGACTATCTTAAATGTAATTACAAATATAAGCAAAGTTATTTACATTATTTACATTTGTCCCCGTTTTTCATCACCATAACGTTTCGGTCGTTGTGCAATCCTGCCTTCATCAGGTGTTTGTTCGATCCAGGTAACCGCCAAGGGATTTTGAACTGAACTCTTTATTTAATCATCGGGATGGGGGTAGATTGTTCACGTTCCGTTGGCCATACCTCGTCTAGTTCTTATTTAGTACTGATTAGTAATTGCTCGACTCGTTTCCATTGGGTCCGTCGCAGGGATTGAACTCACAATCACCATGTCGCCAAATTCACGAATTAACGCTTTAATCCACTAGGCTTTTGTCTGTAGCTTGTCTGTTAAACCCAAATGAAAACGAAAGATTTTCAAATTACATCTATATAGATAGCCAAAGATGCATTCCAAAACCTAAGCAGAGTATTAAGAAACAGAAAAAAATCGTTAGAAACAAAGAAAAAAGTACTGAACTGTTACATGATATCTGTCCACCTGTATGACAACGGAATGCTGGACAATCTGCTCAAAAATGAATCGATATTAAAAAAAACAAAAAAAAAACTATGTCGCTGGACAGTGGCTTGGATAGAGGAATCGGAGAATCGAAATCTGTTCGGGTTCGTTACGTTCATTTACGTGCAAATACCCTTGGAAAAGGCATGAATCCATCTCTTATTCCTCACCCACATCTATAAATAAATAGCAGGGTAGTCTGAGTGCTATAGCCTTGTGTGACAACCGGTCTAGGAAAAGGACAAATCTGAATTCAAAACCTCCAACTATGGGATAAATAACCTCACCAGCATGCAATTTGCCAAACGTGATTAGTATGGCCACACCCTGAAGACATGGTCAATCTGGGAGGGGTTTGGATTTGCGATTTAAATATCGATCGACGTGCTAATCGAAATTATAACTGGTAAGTGTTCTAAGAGGATGGAAAGTGCGACAGTGAGATCCGAAGACGTATTGGGATAGCCAAAGATGCATTCCAAAAACTAAGCAGAGTATTAAGAGACAGAAAAAAAATCGTTAGAAACAAAGAAAAAAGTACTGAACTGTTACATGATATCTGTCCTGCTGTATGACAACGGAATTCTGGACAATCTCCTAAAAGATGAAATTAGACATGAAGCAATAGAAATGTGGTTCTACAGAAAGATGCAGAGGATACAATGGTACCAACATGTAACCAAGAACGAGGTTTTGGCGAAAATGGAATAAAAAAGAAAGCTTATACATAAATTCAAGAAGAGGCAGTTGAAATTTCTGGGGTACGTAACGAGGAAGGAAGGATTGGAAAATATGATACTCACAGGACAGATTGAGAAAAAGAAGGACAGAGGAAAGCAGCGCGTAACATACTTGATAAGCTTGAGTAAATGGATGGTAGAATAGAGTACGGGAGTTAATAACAAAAAACAAAAGTTATAAAGAGCTACAAAGGGTAGGAAGATGTGGAGGGCCATGATCTTCTACGTCCTGAAGGGATACGGCACATAAAAGAAGAATCAAATAAAAGAAATCTTTTGGAGAAAATGTGATATTTTCTCGGTTTTTGTAATTGTTTATTTTTGTATATATATATATTTTAATAATAATCTACGTTACGTTAATTTTATCGAGTGAAATATCTTGTATTCAATTTCTTTCGGATAACTCATAATGCATTCTATTGTTACGGGATTTGTTCCGTATCCTGAAACAATCTCACCACACTGTAACTGAATAAGGTTATTTTTAGTTGTCGATGGCTTTTTTTTTTTATAGTGTCAATGAATCACTTTGTTGTCTACGACTTGTATTGGTTGTGTTGTGCAAGTGATATGCCTTCATAAATTTCAATATGCATCAATAATAATATAAATGGCGCCGTTGGTCTTTGGAACGTTTTATTATTGTCTGAATTCGCTATAATTTTTAGCGTTTTAAATATGCGCATTTTCATTTCCCGCGAGTTATTTAAAATAATTGTTTGTAGACATTCCAGTAGATAACATTTCGCGAAGATAAGAAATGTATAAAACAAAATATCAAATTCTAACGTTTCTTGTTTGTGTAAATTATTTGCCGACGTAAGCAAGAATTTAATTAATTTAACGCCATCAACAAGTAGTTGTGCGCCTCAACCGATGCTTAAAGTTGTTTTTAATAACAATCTTAATTTAATATGAATGTTCTTTTTTAAACAATTCCAAGGCCAAAAGTATAGACTTTACAAAATTGAAGCCGAATTTATAAAGCCGAAAGAACAGAACTTAAATTAACGCTGAAAGAACAGAACTTAGAAAATTAAGGCTGAAATTATGTGGTCGAAAAAACAGAATTTACAAAATTAATGCCGAATTTATAAGGCCGAAAATATAGAACCGAATGAATGTAACTTACAAAATTAAGTCCAAAATTATAAGGCCGAAATTATAAGGCCAAACGAACAGAACTTTCAAAATTAAAGCCGAAATTGCTTAGTTCTTAATTTTATACAAATTATATTTTTATGACGTTGCGCCAGTAGTTGTCGGAGCACTGGAAACAATACCGAAAAAGCTTAGCAGAAAGCTTGAAAGAACTGGAAAGCCAAGGAAGAACTGTTTCATCCAGAAACAGACTTGTAATTTATTTTGCTGTTACACGATATATTCATGTATAAGTCGAGCGTTGATTTTTTTTTAACAGAACCTCTGTTAAAGAATCATTTATTCATTCTCTGACTCGTGTATAGGTCTACTCCAAATTTTATGTAAATAGAATAACAAATTAGACTAATAAAGTACTACATTTTATGGCCTATGGAACACATTTCAGGAACCTTTATCAAACATCCCTTTAAGTTTAACACATTAGGAGACTAAAGCACCTCGCAGC